CGGCGAGAAAGAGATAATGGGATTATTTCACTTTGTTTTGATACAAATATTGAAAATAATCGATACAATTCTGACAGTTAATTATTGAAAGAACTAGATTAATATTTGCCGAGAACGAAACAAAAAGATCGAATTGAGATATTTAAAGATATTCTTATGGATTACACATCGATCAAGATTTAAAGAAGATTATTAATCCCATGTGTATCTTCTGAACAAGAATTCATTCAACTTGAATTCCAGGTCAGATAGAACTTGACAAGTTATAATAAATTCTTCGAAAAACTAGGTGAAAAAGTACTGAGAAACAAGACCAACAGTTATACAAACCGATTTTTTTGTACGATGTATTCGCATAATCTGACTGTCTAACGTTTTCAGAACCTAAGAGATTAAAAACTCTAATTTTACTAGTTCAAGTTACAGATGTAGAGTTCCAAACTTTATAATCAAAACATCATATTTCTAAAGTGATACAATGTATTTCAAATTTCGTCTTTGTAAAACAGTTATTACTTAACACTTGTTTATCAATCATCAAGAATAACATTTTAATCTTTTCTACCTCCCTTGAATTAGTTGAATGATTAAAGAGATTCTATCAAAGTGATCATATAATGAATTACATTGTCTATCTTTGATGATCAATCAATTCATTTGTCGCTTGTTATTTATACTTGTAATTTATTATTATTATTATTTTTTTGTTTTATACAAATAAGTCAATTAAGATGTAAAATGTTTTTTAACATGTACTGGTATAGGACATAAAACTTTATTTGTTTCACAATGTGTAGAAAATTGTCTTAATTGTCCAGCTTTAATACGTTTCCATTTGGCACGACGATTTTGCCACCATATTTTAACTTGAATTTCTGATAAATGTAATGATCTAGCAATTTCTGAACGTTCACCAAGTGATAGATATTTTTTTTGTTGAAATTCAGCTTCTAATTCAATTAATTGTTCATTTGAAAAAGCTGTTCGTTTACGACGAGTTGATGATGATGTATTTGTTGTTTTATTAATGGATGATATCGATGAATTATCATCTTCATCACTATCACTTGTTGTTAAACTATGTGAAAGTTGATTAACTAAACAGAAATAGAAAAACTAAAAGTTATGAAATAAACTAATGATTCAAAATTTACTTGATTTCGTTTGTTCTTGTTGTAAATGATTTAAAAATGTTTGAAATAATGGATTTATATAAAATGTTGGTGACGATTTATTTTCATGATTATTATTATTATTATTAAGTAATGCATCGATAGAAAAATTCTTTGACATGATGATGTGAGAAATGAAGAAGTGAAGTTATGTGTCCTATTTTTTTTTTTAAATAAGATATATGAGAAGAAAGAGAAAAGGAAATTTGTTCTTATTGGTGGAAATATTCTATTGGATAAAGAAGAATGAACAGTTGATTGACTGATGTTTGTTTTCATATTCACACCATCTCCATTTCAAGGGTGCCGCATATTTAAACTGTTAGAAATTAGAGATCAATCATCAATATAAGATTAACGTTATTTTAATCAAAATAGAGAAAGAAGAATGAAAAAAAAAAATTGATAAGTAGGTATCATTTATTCATCGATAAAGTGTGAAGTGCAAGTGTTACTGTGCAAATTTCAATGTGTTTTGTTTGTTTATTTTGTTAGAAGAAAAAATTAGCCTTTCATCCTGTGATATTAAATGCATAATTAACAGCTTATGTTCGGCATGATTGTTCGTATGTTCCGCTGTAAATTGCATCAAACGAATTGATGATGAGAGAAGTGCTTTATTTTTTTTTTCTTCGAAGACAAAAAAAAAAAAACATCTATTTAACTATGACTGATTGAACTGTTTGTCACGTTAAATCAGTGTTAGAAGAAATATTTTTATGCAATCGATTTTATTTTAATTTATATTATGAAAAGAAATTAAACCATGAGAACATTATCTGACAGCTATATGATGATGATATAAAATAGCAATTAACAAATCATAGACAAATTTTGTTTACATGTTATAATTTGCATATATCTTTAGTATAAATATAATGAGAAAATTTATGTTTCCGACTAACGAGAGAATCTTTTCAGATGTCACCTTTCAATGTCAATGATTTTTTTTTTCTTTAAGATACTATGCAGTGTTTTAAGAGAAATCCAAAAAAACGAATTTTGAATTTGAATAAGCAACTTATCGAATCTTTTTCTAGAAGAGCTTGGATTAGAGACTGAATTCATAACTTGTGAGTTTTTTTTAATGGAATCTAGTCTAGTTGAGTTTGTCTATATGCGCAAAGTTTTAGATCAAAATTAATAAATATGACTTAGCCGAAAACTTGAAGTTTTTGAAAAAAAAAACTCAATAGCGTAGGCAAACCTAAATCTTTGTAGAATTTTTATTAGAACACTATGTATTATCCATATGCAAAAAAAAAGCATTAAACTCTGAAGAAGACATTTGAAGAGGTTCTCTTGTCAGTAGTGGCAATGGACTGTATATTTTCTAATTTTGATCACTTGAGCAATGTTTAGTTATGCATGTTAATGTTGCAGAAAACTCAACGTTCAACCAAAGTTGTTGAATTTGCAAGGAGAAAAATGCGAGAATTCCGTATTTTAACCACACTTCAAGGGTATGTCAAAGTTATCCTTTAAAATTTGTAGCTATTTCACGTCTACTGTCAACGTGTGTTCTGATTAGCAAAAAATCAAAAAAAAGTTGTCCCAACTAAAATTGAATATTATAGTTAAATATTCTATGTTTTGAAGAGAATTATCTTATAAATCATATCAATCAGAAACATAATTGAAAAGAGATGATCCAAAAAAACCGTTAATTGTCGACTAAATAAATCCAGAATCCAGTATCGACGACTTCTTTTTAGATTTAATAGTTTTCTAGACTGGAATCAGAAAAACATAATCCCTCATATCTCTATTGACGAACGTATCAGTTTGAATTCATTTTATGTAGCTATGTTTGACAAGAAAGTTCAAATACTTCATCATATGTCACTGATAATGATGAAGTATTTAGGGTCTATTGTCAGACTCACTTATTATAAAAAATGAATTTAAACTAATATGCTAACGATGCACGCTGATAGCAGACTTGAAATAGCTAAACAAGTTCTAGAGGATATCTTTGATATAACTTAGTTGATCAATTCAGATGGAAAATGAATTATTTTTTATCCCAAGATTCAGCACTTTGAATTACGAAAATTGCAGAACTTTTACCAGAACAGTCGAATAAGTGACAAACAGATTATGACAAGGATTTGATTTTATGATTGAGATTGAAATGCAAATTTAGTTTAATTACAAATATTCTTAAATTTTTTTTTTTTTTGTGTTATTTTAGGACGAATTTTCGTAAAGGTGTCAAACGCTTATCAAAAACGAAATACTTTATTGATCCAGATATTGAACATGTTCTTGTCTTTCCTTCTGGTACAAAATTTTTTGATTATGATATTTATTTGAAACGACATATTTTACTTATGGATAAGGTGTAAGATTCTTTTATTTCATAGAGTTAATCTTCTGTTTTTCTGTATTTGTTTCAGGCTAGTTGTTTACCATGTTTGGCATTATCTCCACCTCCGGGTAGTACTGTTCTTGATGCCTGTGCTGCACCGGGTAATAAAACAATTTGTTTAGCTAATTATCTAAAAAATAATGGGTTTGTATTCTGTTTGAATCAATTTTTTTTATGCTAATTGTTTATTTTGATTTTTAAAGTATTCTTTATGCAATTGAAATGAATAAACGTCGTTTTAAAGAACTTAACATTAATTTGAAATCAGCTGGTGTTACTTGTGCACATACATTAAATGGTGATTTTTTAAATGTTACAATACCATTTAATGAAATAGATTATGTTTTACTTGATCCATCTTGTTCTGGTTCGGGTATTCGTAATCGAAATGATGATACAGAAATTATTGATGAACAACGTTTAGAACGTCTTGCTACATTACAAATACGTATGATTACTTATGTATTAACAAAATTTCCAAAAGTAAAACGTGTTACATATAGTACATGTTCGATACATCAACAAGAAAATGAACAAGTTGTTGAAACAATTCTTGATCAATTTAGTGACACATTTCAGGTTAAATAAATAAAGTTTTTTTCGTTTAAATTTTATAATACATTCTTCTATTTTAGCTTGTTGATTTTCTACCTCAATGGCCAAGTCGTGGACAAACAGAAAGGACACGAGCATGTTTACGTGCTTCAACAGATGATACATTAACAAATGGATTTTTTGTTGCTTGTTTTGAACGAATAATAAAAATCGATCCTTAATAGAATATATATATATATATATGTATCTTAAGATTGAGACGTCTCTGGGTTTCATGACTTCTGAACTCATGAAACTCTCGAAATTGAAGCGATTTCAACAACTTAAACAATATTAAGAACTCAAGAATTTATTGAAATTTAGGTAACAGATCAACCATAATATTTCAAAGTACATTGACATCATCATGCTGTGCTTACTTACAAATTATAAACGACTACAGTCGTATCTTACATCGAGAAATATCGTACAATCTTTTCTATGGGTATTCAAGCATAAGTGTGACTATAGCTGTAGCGAGAAGTGAATTTCAAGTCGCGCCCACACCTATATTATACTTATAATTGGACCGACCGATCTGGCACTTCAATGTCCAGTTCGATTGAACGCTTAAAACTGGCCAGTTTTTAACAACTTATATGATTTTAATGGTCAAGAGATATAAGCCTGAAAGTTTCAAACTGATAAATTTCCAGTCGTTGTTAAAATTCTAGCTCTAAATATTGAGTTAACACTTTCTCATCGTACAATGAGAACCTCGGATCATGCTGAATGAATTCCTTATGCTTACGAAAATTTAGCGAGATATTAGAAGTTAATTAATCTCGAAATTTCGAGCGCACTTTTCTGAACTAATATTAACTGACTCTCATAAAATCTCAATAGCTAATTAGTAGTTTTCAATTCATGCTTTTATTACAAAATATCAGGAAAATTTCGTTCTGTTGTCAATATCTTGCAAAATATTTGTGAAAATATTCAGATATTAAGAAACTTTAAAATAGGAAGTCTCATATAAAAATGTACTATCTTTTTATTGGTAATAGTATTCTTTTACTAATTGAAATATCTTTCAGCTGTATTAATTAATAATTTCAAATAAGAACCGATCAAATTTACCAATTGAAAAGAAATCATATCATTATTGAAAAAAGTCAGCCACGACATAGTAAAGCTGTTTGTTGCTGTGAGTTATTAGAAGAAACATACTGAAAGAAATCTTTGTTAATTTTATATTATGTCTTCGTAGAAGTGAAATAATAAACTGTGTTTCGAGAGAACTGATTGCTTATTGGATATATTCAATGGATTACGCTTTTACCAGTTAAGTCAATAATCTCAATCGGCTGGCCTAGTGCATTCGAAAAAAAATTCGACGAGTTCCAAGAATGAGCTACACCCTTAAAAAGCAAAAGAAAAAGAATGTTAAGTTGTTCATTATTTCTATAAAACTCATTCATTAATTTCATTAAAATATTTTATCTATGGAAGAAGATTATTTTTGTTTTGGTTTCCATTTCAGTTTATTGATCTGTTTTTTCAAAGTTAAAAAGTAAATATTTAATAAAATTATTATCAAAATTGTCACTTTTGCTTTTTGTTTAATATTAATTAAAACATAATGAAATAACATTTCAAAAGAAATTATAAACAATTGATTTATGAAAGAAAAGATCAAACATGATGATTAGTTTGATTTTTTCAGAATGAAAATGAGTGATGTGGTAACTAAATCTGTCTTATTTAAGAGTAGTTAGTTTCTATTATGCATCTATTCATAGAATTCTACGTTCTCTCTTCATCGGTATATTTTTCCTTCCTAAAAAAAAAAAACGAGTTTCACCAGTACTTCAAAGACAAACAAAATAGAGGATCAAAAAAGTTTCTTACCTCAATCTTTAGCCATGCTTTATTGACTAGTTAAATAACAATTTGAACAATCAAATAAAGTATCATGCATCAATCGATAGAGCATCAGGTTTTCAACAAACTTGTGTATGACACACTTTGTTATACTCTACATTTCGTAAGTGTTTTAGAATAAAGAACTTTCTAAATTGACATAATTCGTCATTACAGTTGTTATTGTGCGCCTCAGATGAGCATTATTTTACAATATCTCAAAGCCATCTTTTTGCACAAGTATAAGTTGTCCAAAGCTACAAAAATGCAAATATAGAAGCAATTAAAAATGTTTCACTCAATATTTTCTAAAAGACGTATCAATAGGACATCATAATAGGTGTATAGTGGGCATCGTTGTAACTCTATGATCGTCATTAATTTGCATTATCATGGAGTCAGCTTCCCTGCAAAAGCAGGAGCAGTTAAGAGCTATCGTATTCAAAGTAAATTTTGAAAATGTTGTTTCTTATCCTTGTTTAGATGTCTTCTATGTTGGAAATATGTACAGAATGTTCGGAAAGTCATGATCACTTAATTAATATTTATAACGCTGCTACTAATGAAGCCTTATCAAAGAGTTTTTTTCTGTTGTAAATAGCAGAATATTAAATTTTTATTCGAACGATCATATTCATACACAGTGTAAAGAAGGTAACACTCAGCTAGAATTCAAATAAAAGCTTTGCTTCGCATTGCATTAATTAGATTTCTTTTTTGAGTGCCAATAAGAATATGCATCGAATTTCTAACGTTATTATGAACTTCACATCATGCAAATCTTTGATTATTGCTTTCTAATAATTTGCTTGGCATATTTTAAAACGATCTAATCGTAGGCGCATTTCCTCGCAACAAGTTTTCTATAACACTTTGTAACATTACAGTGGGCTCTCTTGTTTTCTGATTGTAAGAATATATCAAAACTAGTTGTAATATAGTTACAGTGAAAATTTTCAATGATCTAAAGGTCATAAGAATATTATAAATGCGAGTAGATATGGAAAAAACACAGTGCATGTTGGTTTTGGCATTAATAACTTACTATTCTGCTATTTACAACAGAAAAACTTTTTGATTAAGGTTGATCGGTAGCAGAGTTATAGCTATTTATTAAGTCATCATGACTTTCGGAGCATCATGTGCATATCCCAACGGAGAATGTCCTTAAGTAAGAAGAAGAAACCACATTTTCAAAAGTTACCATAAATGAGATAGCTCTTGATTGGTCCTACTTTTACAGAGAAACTGACTTTATGATAATGCAAAAATGACGGAGATGATAGGGTCACTATACTGTCCGTCATGCATCTATCCTGGTATTCCATCAATGTGCCTTTTAGAAAATATTGAACGAAGTATTTTTGAATACTCCTAGGTTTGCACTTTTGTAGCTCTGCACAACTAATGCTTATGCAGAAAAATGACTCCTGAACATTGTAAAATAGTGGTTATCAGAAGCGCATACTATCAGCTGTGATCTTGATTCATATGAGTTTAGGTAGCTTTTTACTCGAAAACTCATAAAATGTCACCTATTTAGAAAGAACGGATGAATAAAATAAAATTTTTCTTAAACTAAAAAGAAAATGAATTAGTTTTTCAAGGTGTTCAATCTAGAAAAGCGTCAAAGATATAGAATATTTGTTGTATAAATTCTTAGCATTTTCAATAAAAGAAAAATTTAATTTTTTTTGAATAAATATTTCCCTCCCAAGAACGGCTCATTTATGACAAAATAAATTAAAGAAAAGAAAATGACTTTTAAACTATTGAAATATTCAATAAGAACAAAGTTTGACATGAAAAATATTCCTAAATTGTCGTTTATTCCTACTACTTCAATATTAATTTATCAAAGAATATTGTTTATTTTATTTTGTTTTACATGAAATAATGAATCACTTTAGTTTTCGTTAAAAAGTTTATTGCTTATTTGCATAAAACAAATCGAAAACTTTAAGGATTGTTTTTTCATTATCTTCATAAAACGATTGATTTTTTTCAAATTCAAAAAAACTAAAATAAATTGATTACGTTCAATAACAATTTTTGAAATCTCAAAAAAATACTAATGTTAATGTATATTTTACAAAAATAAGAAAACTCTCCTGTTTGATTAATCATGATATTTCTTCGAGAATTTTCTACGATTTTTTTTATCCACAAATTCTTTTCATTTTATTTTGTTTTAATAGAAGAATCTGTTTCATACAAGTTTTTCATAAAAATTTCTAAGGTCAACGATGAAAAACCTTCTTGACCCTCAACAGCGAATTACTGTAATGAAATTTTCATCAAATTTTCTGTGAACTCACTAATAACGTAGCTAACAGAATTAAAACATTTATTAAATACTGAAATAGAACATTTAGAGAAAAAAAAAGATTATTCTGCATTTCATGAACGTTTATCAAAAATGATGAATTATAAAAAAACCTTTAAAACTCATTTATTAATCAATCCAAGAACAAATTAACTTTCAATTTTGTATTTCGCTAAAATAACCATTCGATTAACAGTGAATTAACAGAATTCTTCAAATAAATTACATTTTTTCTAGCCGATTGCTTCTTTTTATAAACAATTAACAATGAATTTCGTATTCAAATTATTTCATAGAAATCCATTGTAATTCTAAAAACCTTACCCACATTTTTACAACGAATTTTAATTGATACTTTAAATTTTTGAAAAATTTCTTTTTATAATGAACTCGATAGAGAAATCTTTTACATTTGGAATACAAAAATTCTTGTTTTTTTCAACGAACTTTATTGATTACATGAAACAAAAAATAGATATCCATTTTGTTTTCCAATATTTATTCCTAAGTAAAAGAAAAAAAATTTTACGAATAAAATTATTTCATAAAAAAGATAAAAGAATGGTAAGCTGCAATTTATACACAAAATATAAACCCTTAACATTATATAAAGTTATCTGTAAATCTGCCTCAACATACACTGAATGAAATTCAATGTAAAACTTTATAACGGGATAAAACTATAAAATGATAAATATTTAACATAGATAATTACAGACCAACGTTCGAACACAGAAACAAAATCTTTGCATCGTTTTTGAAATTTTACTCTTTACTGTTTAATTTAATGAGTTTAGTTTTTTCCATTAAGTTGACGAATATTTTTTTCAGTTCTCTGTCGATTTGGATGGTCAACAGGAAGGAACTTCTCATAAATAGCCAGTGCACGCTGATAATAGTCCAATGCCATCTTTTGCTTGTTCTGATTTTCATAACAAACTCCTATACTATTCAAACTAGACGCAACATCGACATGACCAGACGGATAAAATTTCTCTAGAATTTTCAATGCTTGTTGATGATAATCGAGAGCTTCCTCGTATTTTCCTTGATGATGGAGAATACGACCGATATTGTTGAGGCTTGTAGCAATATCAATATGACCGGATGGATAAAATGCCTTTCGAATTTTCAATGCCCGGTGATGAGAATCAAGAGCTTCCACGCATTTTTTTTGACGATAGAGAATAAGACCGATGTTGTTGAGGCTTTGAGCAATATCGACATGACCATATGGATAAAATTTCTCTCGAATTTTCAATGCTCGTTGATGATAATCAAGAGCAGCATCGTATTTTCCTTGATTATCGAGAATCACACCAATGTTGTTGAAGCTTGTAGCAATATCGATATGACCAAATGGATAAAATGCCTCTCGTGTTTTCAACGCTTGTTGATAATAATCAAGAGCATCATCATATTTTCTTTGCTGATGTAGAACAACACCAATGTTGTTGAGGCTTGTAGCAATATCGACATGACCAGATGGATAAAATTTTTCTCTCATTTTCAATGCTTGTTGATGGTAGTGAAGAGCTTCGTCGTACTTTCCTTGATTCAAGAGAATGTTACCAATGTTGTTCAGACTTGTAGCAATATCGACATTACCCGATGAATAAATTTTCTCTCGAATCTTCAATGCTTGGTGATTAAAGTTGAGAGCTTCATCGTACTTTTCTTGCTTCTCGAAAATAGCACCAATGTTGTGAAGGATTGGGGCAATACGGATATCACCAGATGAATTAGATTTCTCTTGAATTTTTAGTGCTTGTTGATAATAATCAAGAGCTTTATCGTATTTTCCTTGGTTGAAGAAAATGTTGCCAATGCTTACTAAACTTGCAGCAATATCAATATGACCAGATGAACAGAAGTTCTCATGAATTTTCAATGCTCGTTGATGATAATCGAGAGCTAGTTCATATTTTCCTTGTCGATAGAGAACGACACCAATGTTGTTGAGAACATGAGCAGAATCTTTTATTCGTGGCGGTTTACTTTTCATCATTCGGTCATATGCACGATCAAAATATTCTCGAGCTTGGTTCCATTCACCTTTTAAATCAAGAGCTCGACCAATATTAAATTCAATCCAAGCACGATCTTCATTATTTGAATTATTCAATAATTGTTGAAAATAGTTTTGTGATTTATTATATTCACCTAAATCACACAATAATCTTCCAAAAACAATCGAAACACTTAATTCTTCTGCTTCTTTATGTGCTGATTCAATAAAATCTTTAGTAATTTTTTGTCCTTTACTGGACAGATTCATTTTAATTATTTGTAATGATTCCTTTTCTTCAATGGATTCAATTTCAAAACAGGCATTTAAATTAAATAATACTTCTTTTTCACCTGGATATTCACTGTATTGATCAATATCAGCGAAAATTATATTTTGATCAACTTTGGTAATATCACATTGAATATGGAAAAGAACAGGAATGACATCAACTCTTTTTGTTGGTTTTGATGCAAAACTTAATGCTGATAATTCTCGTCGGCTCGTTGATAAATATCCATTTGTTGAAATAAGTTTTCCTTGACTTTCTTTTAGTTTATTAAATTCTTCTTTATGAAGTTTAATTCCTCTATAAACATTTATAATCTTTTCTTCTGATGAAAGAATCCTTTTATGTTCACGTTGAAGATTTTCTGAAAGATCACCAATAAAAAATCGAAATGCATGCAATAAATCGATATCTTCTGTTCGTAATGCTTTATTAATTAATTTATAAAGAAATGATTGTTTTGAATACCAATGAATTGCATCTTCTGATCGATAGTTTTGTTCAAAGTCATTAATTAATTTTGTTTCTGTTGTGTTACCACGATAATATTGTCTACATATTTGAATCATTTGTTGTTTAGCTTGTTGATCTCGTGGAAGACGAGCAATAACATAATTGAATAACTGAAACCAAAGAAATTCTGCTGATTCTTTGGATAGATCTTTAATGGATTTTTCATGTTGATCAAAAAAAGAAAATGTTTGTATTTGTTTATAAAAAAAATCAATTTGTTCTTTAACTGCTTTACATAAATCCTGAAGATTAATATAAATTCCGATGATATTTGAATATTCATTTAATAAATACTCATATCGAGTTTTTTTCGCACAAAAGATAAATACTGAATCAATTTGATTTAAGGAAGAGATTCGAGGTAAGATTTGTGATGTTTTTGATCCTGATGTAATTAAAAAGATTTTTTCTTTATGAATTGATTGAATAAATCTAATACATTGGTCAAGATCAGTAGAAAAAGTGACATAATCATTAATAAGACGAAGTTGTTGTTTTGTTCGTTCGGTATCTTCACGTGATCCAATCTTTGGATCAAACCAAATAAGTGTTGTACTTTCTTTATTTTCATCATCGTTTCTGGGAACAGTCTGCTGTTTTTCGATGCTTACAACTGTTGATTCACCAGACATCTCAAATGAATTGAAATTTTATTGTAATGATGTGAACGTCGGTGTTACACGCAAAAGTAGAAATGTTGATATATCTATAAAAGACTTGTTTGAAAAAAAAAATGAACTGGAAAGTCGAAATAACTGTTCGCTTTATATCAAAACAAAAAATATAATAGTTACTTTATTTGTCGTCTCACATTTTTATTGTTTATCTTAGAATACAAAGTTCTCTTATCACATGTTTATCAGTAAGTCAATATTGCAAGATGAATGTGGCTTGTATCGAAAGAGATACCGTGCTCAAGCAAAATATTTTTTTCCGAGAATTATTTGATGACGTAACACGTTTAAGAAGATGGAAGCAGAATTATTTCTAACGAATGATCTATAATAAATGGGTCAAAATGTTTTCCTCTTCGGAGAGTACTTCTCAACGTATTAATAACTTCGTATTAGACTTCTTCGATATACAATCTTCTGCTCTATTAATCTACTATCTTTGTTTTAAATAGCTTTTTTTTTGCTGGTACAAAGCTGACAAGATGAGCACCTATTGAAACATGTAACAGCAGTTTCCAATTTTCTGTAGGTACCTATCGATTTGTGAGTCTTTGCTCACTAGAGTTGACGTTAAAAGTAAGTTATTTGGTATCAATGAATAAAAAGTTTTTTACTCTCAGCTGTCACGACTTGTGCAAAGTTTCTACTGCTGTTGTTCAGAATAAAAAGGGCTTTGAAGCAACGTCTATTATCCATTTCAGAAGTAAATGGAGGCGGACATTTTTTAAATAACTTTTGATCAGCTAATGTTATCGAATTCGGAGTTTCAGCATTGTGAAGAGCGAGCTCAGAGGCGTTTATCTATATATTATTCAACAGATAGATGTCTCAGAGCTCTCTCTTTACAATGTCGAAATCTTGAGCTCGATAGCGTTAACCAAACAAAAAGTTATTCGAATAATGCCCACGTCTATTCAACTCTGAAATGGGCAACAGTGGGATTTTGAGACGCATTCTGGAACACCATGCTATTCAAAGCGAAACTTGATCTACAACAAGTTTGTTCGCATGTCACCGAGTATGAGATCTAGTTCTGAACAGACTAATATGACTGTTAAATTAAAGAGTGGAAACATTAGATTATGTAAAATTAAAAAGAATCGAGGATGTAATTCTGCCAGAAAAGGCATTTCCCGGCTTTTTCATATTTTTTATTTTAAAAATTTTTTTCGTGTATATTTCTTCTAAAATGCTCAGACACATCAAAAGATAAAGAACGCTTTGGGGAAACTTTGCAGCATATTGGAAATTTCAGAGAAATTTTTATGAAATATTTATCATCCTTTTTTTTTTTGTTTGCTGACCATCGCAGCTAGACGATTGGGTAAGTGTTCCTTTTTAAAATTTTGCGATGACAACTGAAGTTATCTGATACACAAAGATAATAGTTTTTCAGAGTAGGAAATTCTCTATCGAATGAGCCTAAAACAAAGTCTTTAGTACATTGGAAAGTACTCGAAAAAGAAGAAAAAGGTTTTGATTCGTTTATTATAGACTACTTGTTAGAAGTCAATTTTAACATTTTATTACTGATGGAGAACTTTATCACTTCAGTTGAAAACTGTATGAATTTTTGTTATTGTTTTGTGTATTTGCTACATAATTCAATTAATTGACATAATAGTTTTTGGCTTCACTCAATAAATAAACTGTTGTATTAAATTTGATTAAGACAGAATGGTACTTTTCTATAAAATTTTTTCTTGCGAATTCATGTAGAGACAGTCTAATAATCAATAGTTTGGCTTAACAGAATCATTCAGCTTTTGTAAAAAAGGATATGAAGTTTTCTTGAGATTCTTTTTTAAATTTTTTAGACAATGTTCAAAGAGCTGCATTAGACTGCTGACTGTGTAAATTAGATTTTGGTGTAGAACAACTGTAATTTGTTAACGTTCTCTTTTATTGTAATCTAAAACTATGAGTCAAGATAGTACAAATTCGGGCTTTCAATAGATACTGAACATTAATATATTTCGAATTTTTTATGTTTTTCAAAACGAATAAGAAACAATATGAAGTTGTAGTTGACTAACTGTATTTAATATCTTGAAACAATTTTAAGAAAAACACTGTGAATTTAAACAATCTACCGTAAAATGTTGAAAAATCATTTTTGATAGAAATGAATTAATAAGTGCATGGAAATGTTAAGATCTTATGGTAAAAACCATATTGAATACTGGAGAAATTCGATTTGATTAATATTTCTATTTTTAAAAATAATCTCTACATTAATTGTAAGTATAACAGTTCAAGTTAAATAAAGGTGATAAAACGCTGAATGACAACTAGATGATCATGAACCGTCTGTACATTTACTACTTTCTTCTCGAAAGCACAAATTTTATATCAACTAAGATATTCAAATTTCGTTCATCTTTTTAATTAACAATACTTAATCCGACATAAAGAGAGTTAGCAAAAGATTCGCGTATTACGTGCTGACATTCGTTTTTGAGTCTGTAATGGTCTACTAGTCAGTTGTGCTGAATGCAGAATTTAATTTTCTATCGAATAGTGATATTTTCAAGTTAGCCATCGAGTTTCCATTTGTTGTTCTCTAATGATTGCTTACATACAATGTGTAAGTAGTGGATTCACATATTGTAATAATATATTCGCCTTCCCAGTTATGCCACAAAAAAGAATTGGAGTTTGCCAAATAGCGCAAGACATATAGAGAATCATGGGTACCCCTCAAAAAGTCTATTGGAAGGATGTGGGTGAGGATGAGTGTGAGTGTAAAAGTGAATATGGCGCTAAGGTTGAAGATGATGGTAAGGGTATGGGCGTGGATGTGGGGTGTGGATGGGTGTCTTCTTTAAATCGACATCAACAATCCACACCCTACACCCACATCAAAAGTAATTAGTATGTTTCTCAAGACATTTTTTATTTTTCTTCCGACGATATTGCATTTACTCACGTAATCAAAAATCAAATATCATCACTTGTTATCAATATTAATTGAAATAATAAACAAATTTCAACAACAGATGCCAATCGAATTATTTTCACACGGATCCTTACTATTTTCATCAATTTACAATATTTTAATTTTAGTTCGCCTTCAATATGGTATCAAAGATTATCATTTGACATATCATCTCCAACTCTGTTAGAATTTCATGCTTGCATAAACTACTTCATTGATTTGCTATATTTTGCTTGATGGACGCCTCAATCAGCTGCATATTAATATATATCGCATTTTCTCTAGTACGTTACCAATCAATAATGAGGTAGATTATTTTTGATTAATATCAAATTTAGTAAAAATAATTCTCTCTTTTAGAAAAAATTACCTAATCTAAGACGTTTTTCTTAATATTGTGATATGCGTACGTATGTTTATGATGAATTAATTGACCAATTTCTACGTCGAATGTTGAATATAGAAGAACTTGATTTACATCTTAAAGTCGATCGTGATAAAGACTTTATTAATGCAGTGGGTCACGCTGAACGCCTCAAAACACTTCACCGTCTATCGCCTCGCATATATTGACCGCCAATGCGACAGGATGTGTTCAAACATGTCCAATCTTGCATTGCATGCCAACAATTCAAATATCCCAACTCCCCTACTGCTTATCCCATGCAACTACATACGGTTACTCAACCATGGCACACCATCGGCATCGATATTATGGGACCCTTTCCCCCAACCCCCCGACAGAAACGGTTCCTTTTGGTCATTATCGACTACTTCACGCGATGGGTCAATCTGTTTGCTCTACGTCAAACCAAGTCTACAACCATCGCCAATATACTCATCGATGAGATCATCTGCCGTTACGGAGCCCCTTTCTATATTTTGTCGGGCAATGGCCCCCAATTTATTTCACAATTATTTCAAGATGTATGCTCCTCTCTTGGGATTGCCCGCAAACTCACGGCTAATTATCATCCTCAAACAAACATGACAGAACGCGTGAATCGTACACTCAAAGCCCAAATTGCTATTTATGCGCAACGCCATCCCGGTTTATGGGACAAAAAACTTCAAAAACTGGCATTTGCCATTCGCACTTTTGTCAACAAGACTACCGGCGATACCCCAGCATACCTTAACCTGGGTCGAGACCCGGTAGTACCACTCTATCTGATTATCAATGAGCCAACCTTCGGCCCTTCGTCTATTATTCCAGAAGAAAAATTCATTCAACAGTATCGCACTCAACTAGCCCATGGGTTCCGTATCACTTATCAACTCGTACGTGAACACTCCGACATCCAAAAACTTAGCCAAAAGCTCAAATACGACAAGTATACCCGAAGCCGCCAATTCCTTGTTGGTGATCTCATGTGGATCCAAATTCCCACACATCCACGCATACCCTTCTATACGTTCTTTTCGTCTGACTTATTTCCTATTCTTTCAAGTATTTAACGTTATACTACAAGCATCGTCCACGATTCCCGATTCCGTCACACTACGAATTGAACTCCATTACCACATATACGTTTATCATCCTTCTCTTATCTCTCCTATTCCCGCCCGATATTTTCTCGCTCGCTCCGCTGCCACAATTCAATATCGTTCATCCGTCATCCGGTCTCATTCTTCAATACCTCTCTCAATATTCACCCGCCGATAGCGTCGTCCCTCTTACCGTTACCATCCCACTCACTCTCGGCATGTGTTATTTACTTCCTGTACATGCACTACGTAAAATACCCACTTGCCACCGTCCCTCACAGACTGTCTCACGCACCCCACTCAAACGCCCCACACGTTTCGTGGCAGATATTATAGCAATTGGAATTGGTTCCGCAGCGCTTGCACTATCAACCGCCAATTCCATTCAACTTCTGAAACTAAATCACGAGGTCGACACCATCACGAACTCTTTATCAGCATTTCAATCAATAGCAAACATCCAGACCACCCAACTTTTCCATGTTACGACTGGCCAGCTCAATCTCGCTCTAGCTCTTAACCACACTCAAACTGCACTCAACAACACAATTGCTCTTATCAACCAACATGACATTAGTATCGACAATCTTGCAGCCTCACGAAATATCTGAACGATTGACTCACCAACTTCATGCACTCAGTCGAAACCCATTTTCTACACACCTCCCTCTTCGATATTTTCTCCAATCGCCTCAACCTTCATTTTATACACCACCACGATTTGCCGACTGTGGTCGATTTTATCATATCTTCCATAAAAATCTCTTTCAGCAATGATTCCACGGGTCCTTCACTCATTGATCTGGTCAGCCGACTCCTGCTCAAACAAACCGTACACTTCGTGCCTAGTTCCAGCCATTCCCCATCTACTAACTACTTGCCATCCCATTTACGTACTCCGCTCTCCGCATTTGACTCGCGAACATTTCACATATTATTGGTATCGATTTCTCTACTGAATCCCTCATTAGTTGGACATACACCGACTCTCTCACCTGTGACTTTCAAGCCATGTCGGCCTGCCGCGAAACCCCAGCAATATTTTTTCATTGAAGCGATACCTGTCTATATCAAGTTCTAACAGACGCACACCTTTCAGAATGCCGTGTGAAAGCCTACACCAACCCCGTGTTCGCCCATCACGTTGGACCCCAATGGATAATATCTACGAACGCATCCCAAACATGTCACTTAACTACCTTTTCATCGGTTAACCCCCCCCCCCCACCGTTATCCACAACACTTTACGTACTTTGCCTTCAGTGGCCCTCATCACTATGCCACCCAAAACTACACTCCTATGCGAACGCTTCTCCATCTCAGCGCCACCATCCATCATCGATCCACCTATGATTATTTGGGATTCCATCATTCTTAACACAACTCAATCCATCGACTTTGGTCTATCAAACTACTTATCCAACACATCACGTTGGCCCAAACTACCCTACATTTCCGGCGACTTCCGTGCCATCCTCAATTTCATCTACAAGACGCCGACGCCACCACCTCTTCATCCTGTCAAGGATTTCCATCGCCATCCGTTTGGCATTCTATCCTTCGTCTTCATCATCCTCATTCTCCTCCTCATTGGCTCCCTCGGATATTGTCATTTCATCCGACGCTCTCACGTTCCGACAGTCCACTTCCAGGCACAACCTCTGGTCAGCACGCTAGTCGCTTAGCCGGCCACAAAACACTACCGCTTTTATCCTATGCTTTTTCTTTTTCTCCTTCCTACTTCTCCGGTCTTTCCCTACCCTCTCTCAGACGCTCAGGAGCGCGTCCAAACTTCACCCGGGGGTGTAACAACCCAAGGAAATACTTGTTATGTTGTTATTATGCCCTTCAAATTACCATACCACTCTTTCGTCCTTACCTGTATCTTAACACATTTTCTCTCTCTTGGTGATGGCATAAAAGCACTAACAGAATAGCTTAGCGTTATGATTTTTTATATAAGAAATAAATACTAGCTATAACCGTTATTATACGATCTCTATCATCAGAAATCGTCACAATAATCTATTAGAATTTCATTACGAAAGTCTGCGAACTTACATGTTCATCGAAGTTTTTTCTCATTGGGTAGTTAGTACCACCTCAAAATTTTCTTCGGCAATAATTATTGAAGCCTTGGGCAATTGCCCAATGAACCTGCCCCTGGCTATGCTACCGCTAGGAAGGATCGACGAAACTAATATACGATTGGTACTAGTGCTATATTTCTGATATTCAGTCAACTTTGGATGAATTTTGATATGATAAGTATAAAGATCGAAATTTTCTTGAATGATTCGTGCCAAAGAGTTTGTCGAAAATGCCAGATTCACAAGAAAGGATTTTCGCACGCTTTGCCACACTTTGTCCTAATGCCATTCACTGATCACATTGCAGAAATTTTTTGAAATCTCTGCAAGTGATTTTGTCGCTTGCAGCTTGAAGAAAAATACCTTTTGGATGTCATTGCATCTCATACTATATTGATAGAAGGCCAAGTCGATGATATTATTCGAAGTTTATATAAAAAAAAGAAAAGGTAATTTTGTGTTGGTATGAAAATATCGGTCATTTAGTAGTTTATACACTGCTCCATGCAAGAGTTTAGTTTTTGTTTTCTTTGACCTGTATTTATTTATTTATCATTAAAATGGCTTCGATGTTATCTATCGACACAATATCGGTTGAAAAAGCTTGTTGAATTTTTCCTTATTTTCTACTAGCTATTAATTATTATATGGTTATAATAATCTTCAGATTTGCTAATCCTTCTAATGTAAGTAGATGATCGAATGGTGAACAAGTTTGTCTTATGAATCAGATGTATGTATATTTAAATTTTGAATATAAATAGTTGATTTTTAAAAAAATGTCTGTTAGATATGTTGAATGAAATAATAATTGATATTTGTCTCTCTCCACTAACTGATGACATTATTTTCAAATAGTTGATTATCTGAAAAATATTTTAGCAACAAAATAAAATAGTTATTGTTTGATGAATAATAGTTGATATGTTGTTTATATTGTAAAGTAATCTTCCATAATAGAAATATATCATCTTATATAAATATTTCATAGTGTGATGCGGGAACAGCTTTATTTCAAAGAATAAGAAAAAGAATTAAAATAAATTCCATTTCAATGTCTAAATTCATGCTTTTCTTTTTTCTATTTCAATAAAACAAAACCAAAAAAAGAAAATCTACGCATTTTTTTCCATGGAAAATCTATTTATTAAAGAAATTTTTTTTCTGTTGTTGTTTATAAAAAAAAATGTTATTCTAATTGACAAGGAATATGATCAAGACAAAATAATTGATTATAAATTTGATCTTGATAAAATTTTTGTCCAATTAATGATTTTAAACATGTAATACAAACACAACAATCCGAATGCCAATAAAAATCATTATATTGAACAAAACGAATAGAAGTTAAACAATCAGATGTTAATGATTTATCTAAATTAATAATTATTAAATAGTATATTTTAAAATAATTTAATTACGATCAAATGTTATTGATTTTCTACAACGAACACATATATGATTAAATAATAAATTATAACATGATAAACAAAGAATAGATCGACTCCAATTTTCACTTTTAACATAAAAATCTCCTTGAATTAATTTTTTTTTACATTCACAACAGTAACATCTACATTTATTGAATTTATTAATTTATTTAAAAATAATTTAACTTACGAATCAATTTGTTCAACTTGAGCAGTAATATTATGTTGATCGGTTTTCTAAATAAAATTTAAAAAAAATATTTTTTTTTATCTAACAAGATAATCTTTGAAAGAATAATTAAAGAGATAAAAACTCGTTAAACATTCTTCTTTCGAAAATAAATAAAAATATATTTTAATATCGAATTTAATCGGATGAAAAAAATAAAAAATAAATCTCGAAAGATATTATTTATAATACTTACAATAAGAACATCACCGACAAAAGAATCATTTAATCTTCCTTTATTTTCCATTATTTTATTATCTTTCAGTTCACTTTTTTCTTGATTTCTATTTAATGAATTAAGAAAAGGCTAAAATATTTTGTTTAAACAAATAATCATACCCAAATGGAATACCTTGCAATAGAAATTCGACTTTTGTGTTTCCTGAAAATGTTGATGAAGCACCTAATTTCACACATATATATATATAATATATAATTTAAATAAAATTTTGAAAATAAATTGATATTAATTACGTTTTATTTGTTTAACTGCAATAGTTAGATTTTCACATTTGATCTAATAAAATAAGAAAAAAGAAAAATTTATTATTAAAATGTCAAATTATTTTAAATACATGTTCTCCTCGTTGAAGAACTTTTTTATTAAATTGATTAAGAAATTTTTTTTGAAAATAATTTATATCAAATGATTCTTTATTTAAATATTTATTTTCACGAATTCCAAATAAACGACGATAACCTCGACGAGATCTACAATAATAATATAATCAATTTTTCAAAATCTGTTGTTTTTTTCTTTTATAAGATAAAAAATAAAAAAAAACCTTGATTGTAATTCAAGTACAATATATGATACATATTCTTCTTCCATTTAAAACAACCAACCAAATGAATGTTTTTAAAGGAAAAAAAAAAAGATTGATCTCACGTCGTTGAATATATCTTATCTAAGTAGATATTTTCATGCATATCAAACAGTATGAGACTATTTATCATTCTCTTTCTTTCATAACAAATGCATTTTGATGAATTAATAAATACTTAACACATTGATTAGAATTTTTATTTGAAATATTCAAAAACGATAAATTATTGATCTTGTTATAGTTTTTCTTTTATCTAATAGAATAAAGTTCATTCTTTTTTATTTATCTAAAAAAAAAACAAAAGAAAATATCTGACAAATTTCAATTAACTTCATTCAAATGAGCAATAAATATCTTAATAATAAAGATTCGAAGAAAAAAAAATATTTGGTATTTTTTATGAATAACCGAACAAAAAGAAAAAAAAAGATAAGATTGATATTCAACATTCCAAGTTAATATGTTAAATGTTAACTATGTATCAATGGTTGATAATATCGTTATTATTTGTATTAATTAAATTGAATAAAGTTAGTTCAATCGATAATTTATGTTATTATATGGTTAATAAATCTGATTATACTATTGATATATGTCTGAGTGATCAATGTTATAAATATATTGATCCATATTCAATTATGGTTAAACCAAATAATTGTAAAACAAATTTACTTTGTTTATCATTTTCATCATATAAAAATTATCATTTATTTATTAATCGAACAATATGGAAATTAGGAGATTTATTTCCATCAAGATCAATTAATCAAAATCGTATTTTAAGAATATTTATTCATTTTATTGATTATGATGATCAACCAGTTCATCATAATGAATTAATTCGTTTAGGTAATAATATTGATTTATATGAATTATTTATTAAAAATTTTACGAATAATTCTTATCTTCATCAATTAATACATTATGATCAAAATTATCCTCAATGGTATATTATCAAAGTTCAATTGTAAGAAAATAATTTATTATACGACTCTTCAACAATCGATCACCATTGATGAACATTCAAATAGCATTACATTTTATATTTATATTTGGTCTATAGCAGAGAGAATATTCTTATATAGTTACCCAGATAGATTTCGATGTTGTTTAGAAACTTTGAGATTGTCTATATATTATTTTCTTGTCATTTGTAACAGTATGTAAGACTGTAGAGCCTGATAGGATCTGTTTTTTTTTTTAAATTTCTTAAGTTTTTCTTAAAGCCTAACGATAGCAAGTCCAATAGTGCAAGAAACTCTGAAAAAGTTGATATTTTTTTCGATTTTTGTGCCATCCTTGACTTGTTATCGTTAGGCTTCAAGAGAAAAGTCGCGACGTAAAAAGAACTCTGTCAGACTCTACAGTGTTACTTACTCTTTCGAACAAAACTAAAATAAAATTTTGAGAATAAAGCTTCATAGAAAATTTCTGTTTTGCTAATTATGCTTTATTTGAGTTGAGGCTCGTTTGATGATTATGCCATGAAAAAATAATCGATTGTTGAGGGAGAGAAAATATTGAATATGAACTAATTATTTAAAGTATGTTTAGTATTTGTAATTCGTTGATGATATTTAATGAAAATGAATGTTCAAGTAAAATTGTAGCTCCACCATTATTCTCTGTTCGAGATAGATTATTTACAAATAATAAACAATTTCAATTAAATAAATCTTCGGAATATTCTACATTTATATATTCTAACAATCAATCATATAAACAAAATCAAAGTTCAATTCATATTATTATAATTGTAAGTTTTATTTTATTTTAATATATTTTTTTAGACAAAAAAATCTTAATTAAAGATAACAATATCATTATTGATTATATTGGTTGTATTACTCATATCGATATTGATTTACATAAATGCATCTGGTAAACGATGTTCAAACATTGATTTAACAACAACAAAAACAAGACAAACATCTTCATCAAATAATCTTGAGATCAATAATAGGTAATTTACTTAACAATATATTGAGAATATTTTTATAATTTGTTCGAGTATTGATCAACCAAAAAAATATTCAGCAGAAAAAAAGGATTTTTTTTCGAAAAATATAAATATATTATTTGAGTAAATTCATCTTTATTAGTAAATGTTTCGGATGAAAATTGTGAACTGTTTATATTGTAGAAAAATTCTGCTAAAAAAGCTTGAATGTTAATCAGATGGTAATTTGTATCAATGTAAACTAAGATTTTCTTTAGCGGAAGACGTTTATTTTCATAGTGTCAATATCAATATTTGACTTGAAAAGTTTTAATCATTTGAAAATGTTCTTTCGTAAGATTTAAGCTAATACTTGGTTGTTTTTCTTTATACAAAAAAAAATTATTTAACTTTAAACATAAAATTCCGAATGAACTTTTATTGATTTCATTAAATTTTAGAAATTCTCATTAAGACTTAGAAGAAAATTAGCACTATTATACAAATTGATTTTCATTCGTTTATACATCATTTAATAGACAACATTTATACGTGCAAAAAAACCTCGAAAATAATTCAAACTTATCGCTAATTGATCAAGATTTGTGATAGTATTATGGAATTTTAGGTCGACATCCATGAGTATTTGGAAAACAATAAAATGATGAATTATTGTCCTGAGATTTTGTCAAAAAAAAAGTATTAAATATGTGCTAAGAAGAAAAAAGATTTTTTTTTTCTTAAATTTGAGACAAAAAATTTTCTAAAAACAATTAGTATAATATAATTATTTGTTAGTTCAATAATTGCAGAGAATATTGTGAACATGGATCAAATGAAAAAGCATATAAAATCTCTCGATTGCCATCACCACACAAAGAATCAATTTACAAATAATAGCAATGATATTTATGATATTATAACTCAAGATAATAATTCTTTATTGGGTGAACAATATTTTACACGAATATCATCTTCATATCGTTTTTAGGTTTTTCTATTAACATAATAATAAATGTGTTTTCTTTTTTGTTTTTTTTCGAAATAAAATTTATTATAATTAAAATCGTTCAATCATTTTAATTAATTCTGTTTGACTATTTGATTTCGATATTTGTTTTAATCTATGATTTAAATAATAATTATTATTAAATAAAATAATAATAATAATAGCAATTATTATTATTATTGATAAATATGTAATAAGAGTTACCTATAAATAATTATTTTTTTCTTTTTTTTTAAATTAGACAACAAAACAGTTAAAACTTACTAGAATAATTAAATTATAATTATTAGTAAAATCATTTTTAATAAATTGAATTTGTTGAGGACATGGAGATTCTGGTAGACTTTTTATAGATTTAATTAATTCCCATTCAACTCTTTCATATTGACTACAATTAAATATTAATCTTAATGTATCAATTATATTTTGCTCATTACTAATAAACATATTTTTATCAATAAATAAAGTTCTATTATTATTTGAAATAAATCCATTAAATATAAATTCTAATGTATCGATATTTGATATTGAACGAGATAAGATATTAAATTGGTCAATTTTAAATGGTTCATCATTAATAAATGGAGTTTGAAATTCAATTTGAAGAAGACGTTCTAGATTTGGACGACCGTTACAAAAAAAAGAAGCAAGAGGAGTTTTTAATGAAGTTATTTCAAGAAAATTTCTATATGTTAAATAAGATGAAAATTTAAGTGATATATAATTAGTTCGACATTGTTGATCTTCTAATGATACAATATCTATATATTTATAACAATCTTCATCTAAACAATTATATTGACTTCCATTAGAATAAAATACATTAAAATAACAATTATTTATATCTTCTTCTGATAATGATACAACTAACAATTTAAATAATAGTATAAGAATCAACCACATTGCAAAAAACAATTTCTTCTACAATGAAACTTGTCTTTTTTCTCCTGATTTAAATAACAACATAGATTGTTTATTTTACTTTAATCTTTCTACTTTTAAGCGATAAGAGAGAAGATTTTATTTGTTTATTGAAAAAAAAAACAAAAGTGAACATACATCGTTGTAAAGAAAGAATAACATAATTAATGATGATATCATCTTTGACTAGAAGTGAAATGTAAACAATATTATATATATATAGATCATTTATCTAAACTATTTTTCTTAGTTCATTGAGTTAGAATTCTCGTTACCATGCTCTCTTTCTTCTTTATTTTTTTAATCCTAAAAAATATTCCCCCTTGAGAGAAAAACATCGATATACATATATATGAAGTTAAAAGACCTCGTACCTGAACACAAAAGAGAAGAGAAATAATAGAGTCAGTGCATAAAATAATAAAAGAATGAATGAAAGCAAGAAAAAAGAACAAATGATTTATCTTCTATCCTGACAATGTATTTTTGTCAAAGATCGGAAATCAACGATGAGAGATCTATTAAAAGCTCGAAACAATATGGGATTTGCCATGACTTCGAGTATATACCATTTTTTGTGAACCAATTGATATTTCTATTTGTTGTCTAGTTTCGTATGCTGTTTATTGAATTTCGTTTTCATTTATTCATTTAACTGAAAAGAAGTTAATGACTATTTTTTCTGTTTGCTCTATATCATCATTTATTGAAGAGCATCATGTTTAAAAACAATTTCATTCAGCTGATAACTAACAACATTTCAAAATATCCTCATTCTTACAGCACATGATGTGTTGTTGCCAGTGATGAAGATGTCATAAAAACATGTTCTTCTTACGTTAGACTATAGAGCATATCGAGTTGTTTATAAGACAATAATTGCTCTTGTCTTCCAAAAATGAGTTTCAAGTCAAATAATATCATCTTGAAGAATTTGACAATGAAATATTAATATGGGTCTGTTGTATGAGTTAAGTCTTTTCGTACAAGCTTGAGAATTTTTCTTTCGTATAAATTATTTGAGTAATTTATTAGTGCAGTGCATCGCCATTCTTTCATATCTTTCTGAGTTTAATGAATAAGATTTCAAATGGTTTCAGTTTATGTGTAATAACATTGCAATTTAGATCTTATAATTAGATTTTATGTTGACAAGTAATATCTAATGCATGATCAGACGTCAGCCATAAATTATAGGAATTCGCTACAAAACGAAGAAATCTGTTTCATGCTCTATTTTAAATAGAAAGGTGAGTTATTGTTGAAGTCTATTTTAATCAACTTCTATTTATTGACGAGTAACTTACATTAGCGTTTGATATAAAATGAAAAATATACAACCAGTGATTATAAAGAGGATGCATTGAATAAAATATGTATGATATCTTTTGTACCAAGAAGAAAATAAATCAAAAGACGAATTTTCAAAATTTATTTCTCTTAATGGACTAGGTCACGCTGTTTTCGTTTTCACTCAAAGACTCTCTGTAAAACTCTATAGGACAGTGTATTTGGTTCATCAATTAGAATTATTTGTATCCGTCAGTGTACATAAAAACTTTGATGAAATCGAGTGCATAATGTGAAATATCTTTCTGATGGACACATTTATCACATGTTTTTTAGTATTTCATTTTATAATAATTTACTCGAACAATATCGAACATCTATAGTTTAAAGTAGTTCATTAAGAGAAACTTTACTTCTAAAAATTAAATTCAAAGTATCAATTAGAACACTTCTGATAAACCCATGATGAGATTAGACAATAAAAACACGTCATAAAAATGATCAAAAAACTAATATTTTGTATCGTACACTTCATTGTATCTAATGTTTACTAGCCATATGAAACAATAGAAATGATTCTAATGAATGAGTGAATTAAATTGTTCTTTAGATGACTAAATAAGGGTTTTCATTCAAACATTAGTACGATCAATACTGACAAAAAAGGATATGTTGAAAATACCAGGTAACATGTTATATGACACTCGTTAGTTATGGCAAAATAGAAATATATGCACTTTGAATGCCATCAAAGTCTTGCCAGCATATAAAGATTGTGCTAATCGATTCAGTAACTGGGTTTTTCTTTTCGATGAAGCCATAAAAGAAACGTTGACTGCTTTACAATCATTTCAATCAGCAAAATATCTTGTACAGAATTGAAAACTTTATGAATACATTGTTCAAAGGAAATATAGACATTGTCAAAAAGTTTTTGACTGAGCAAAATCGTGAAGCAAGCATAACTTCAGGAATTTCGTGTACCCTCTTTCTTATGGATGCAACTGGTTCCATATCAAGTTTATTGTCTGCTGCAAAAGACACGGTCTATACAATGTTTGAACGTACTTCAGCAGTTTTAGAGATAAAAAGAATATCAAAAGATGCAATCTCTCTATACAATTTCCTATATATCGAAACTATAATTCTCATGACAATAAGATTTTGGAAGTTTCTTCTTGGGAAACAGAAGTTAGTAATTTGCGTACATTTATGAACAGAGTTGGTTCTGAGATGGATGGGGAGAAGACGCAATTGAAATAGAACTATGACATGCAGGAAAGGAAAGTGAAACGCCAGACTCAATATCTCAAGTTATTTTAATAAGAAATGCTTCAGCGAATACTCAGTCGAATGTAGCTAGTAAGCAAGCACAATTCGGTGAAGTCTATTGAAAATAGACTAGGTTTGCTACGCGAACATATTGTGAAGATAAATTATAAAAGTTAAAAAATAAAAATATCCCTGTTCATGCATTTTATGTTACTAACTACGCAATAAATAATTTTCAAAAGATTGATCTGAGCCGCTGAACATTCATTCTATCGCGGGTACTGAATCATTGACCAACTTGGTTATAGAAGAAGTGCTTAGAAAAACAGCTGGGGATCAATAGAATTTTGCAGCATAAATTTATCGAAAGAAATATAGCAAGACAATTTTTGCATTATAAAATCGATTAGTAAAGAGATCGAGAATACTGAAGACTGGATGTGAAGAAATGTGTTTTTTTTTCTAAAAAGAAATTCAATATTTTCATTTTAACTAAAATTTCTGCTGAATGAAATCGATGACTAGAAGCTATTATAAACTTACTCTGTCAAAATACCTATTCATGTAATATCGCAAAAATATTCACTATGGTTGTCTCTCTTTTGTTTTATTCTTGTAATATGGTAAAATCAATTTGTTCTGCAAAATGAATGTATCAACTGATCGTTTTTTTTCTATTGTACTTATTAACATCAATTCATTTCTTTTATTGGCATAACCGTACATTCTTTCTTTGATCTATATTGAAATTTGTTTTCTTCATTGTCGTTTTTTTCTATTCGTGACTTCTTTTAATCATTTAAACAAGTCGCATTCTAATCTGTCTTCTTCAACCCTCTTCATATCAATTTTGTAGAAACACTGATAATCTGATAAACATCAAGGTCTTGTGATAATACTCGATGGATTTTCATTATTAGTAGATATTTTGTTCGCTAATAGATTTGAAAGTTCTTCTCTAACTCTTTTCTACTATCACCAGAAGAAAAAAATCGAATCATTGCATAGAACGAACACATCTAATCGACTGATATCATTATACTAGATAGATCGGCAAAATACAGCAAAACAAAACATCCAATTGTGTATGATTATCCTGAAAAAGAAAAAATCATTTTCTCGTAGAACGTTTGGAATTTTTTGTTCATCTTTATCTCAAGTTGTTTGGAAAGATGAGGAAGAATATAATGAATCTAAATAAAGAAAAATTAATGAAGATGATTATTTTCTTACGAAAAATATATATTAATAACCGATCATTTGGGGTGTGGGTGTGAGTCTCTTTATAAGTCAGTTTCAGACATCTACACCTACATCTGCACCCGCACTCACACCCACACTCCGCACCCATGCCATCTACGTGTGTCATAGTGTTAAAAAAAGCATGTAAAGATTCACATTCAATTTCATTTTATTGAAGAATTTAGTTTGAAGAGCATTGTTTGCAGAAGAAAAGCTCGAGTGTTACGTATGATTCCAAATTCTTCTTGATATTCACTCGCTGCTTGGAAATTCATCGACTTCTGCTACTTCCGCTTTGATCCATTTTTTTCGTTGTGCAAAGTGAAAAATTCCAAATAAAATGGCTATCATTGCGTAAGCTACTGAAAACCTCCATCCGTCATCGGTATTCTTGATCAATATACCAACCGCATTAGCATGAATTATTCCAAATAATGAAAGTAGACCAGCGAGGAGCGACCATACGGCTGCACGGATAAACTTCCGGTCAATTGTATATATTACAATGGCCGTGATAAAAATGCATTGTAAAAGGGAACCACCAGAGAAGTTCACCAAACCTCGGTAAGAGAACGCCGAAATCGTTGAACTAACATTAGATGAGAATAGAACATTGGCTGTAGTGAAATTCGAATAACCAGCGCTGACACCTGCGACGACGGTGTTATGAACCCACTCAGCAATTACCGGCATCAGACCAAGCAGAAAAGCTGGATAGTGACGCCGAGGAGTGACAGCCAATGTATCAGCACAAATTAGCAAACCAACAAAGATCTATTAAACAGAAATCGAGTTTATCAGTTATGAAAAACTGCACGAACAAGAAAGTTACGTTCGAATTTTTAGAAATGATCTCAATGATTATCCTTTATTGTGACAAAAAAAGTCCACCAATACTGTAGTCTTGCTAATCGATTTGTTTTTGTGAATCGGATCAAAAGATGTATCTGAATAGACATGTTACAATATCAAATGATTCTGATATGTCAACATCTAAATAATCATTAAATTGCTATGGAGTAGACTTGCACATGTATAATGATCATGCTCAATATGACAAACTCTAATCCTACTGATCAAGTTAACAAATGAATTGACTTTCTCTCTTTCTGACTTTCCATATTCCTTCGCCCATCTTCTCATGGAAATCTGCTTATGGTCTTCGTGCAAGGCATCTTTAAGATCATTTGTATTCGTCGGGTAAGCAGTTCTAGTAGAATTTTTGAATGTCAGATCAATTTCAATCATCGAAAGTCTTAAGTATCCAAGGGTTTTCTAAAAACGCTCGAGTGAACATGCTATTATAATTTTTTTAAAACTTACAATGATTGGATTAATTGCTACAATAGCAACAAGAGACATAATCAATGCATTGATGCCGAAAAAACACAGAGGCAAAAAAACAACGCCATTCACTAATGAGTAACCTTGTTTGGCGCCCATCTTTTTCATTGCAGGATGACCAATGTAAGCTAAAGCGAACTTTAGTGAGATCAATTACTCAGAAGAAATTTTCTTACTCGTCATGCTAAGAATTGAACCACAGAAACTAGATATAAGAGTGCCTATTCCATCGGCAAACATAGCTTCTTGAGTTGGATAAAAATCTCCAGCTTGTCTAGCTGATTCGACGCATTGAATTGTCACAATAGCATTTGCTACAGCAGTAGGAATTGTTGTTGAGAGATAAGGCATGATTTCATCCATGTGTTTGAACATTTCCCTAATTGGAAAGATCAATGGGTAACCTTTCACCAGCTTAAGTGCATCTTGCACTTGTGAAACATCATTGAGAAACGTTGCCCAACCAAGACCTGTGCCTGCCACAAGAGCCACAACAACTATTGGAATAGGACCAAAGCTAACTAGAAAGATCATACAATCAAATCGTATTAAATATCATTCTATATACAACAATGGAATAAATTCGTCTTGATAAAAAAAACCGACACCAAGAAAGGTCCAGTCTTTCAATAGTTTTATAACTAGTTGATTGAACTGGAACCATTCTGGAAATATTCGTAGTTATAGACTGATAATCCTAAATGATAGCTATTTTACTGCATTTCTGTTCATGAGTAAATGCAATGATTCACAGTGTACGTCGAAGTTCTCACTAAGAAGAAATGCTTCATTCTCTAGCCAATGATTTTTGAAAAAGACGTTTTTTTTCATGTTCGTTCTTTAAGAAATAAATCTGTTTCAAAAATTCAATATCTTGACAATGAAGTATCTTGTTCGGCTGAAAACATCGATATGCACTACAAATCATAATTAATCTATTCAAGCAGTTCGTTTTAATTTGCATTTGCACATAAATCATACTTCAGATTTTCTCCCGATTTTGTTAGAGTGTTCTACGAAAATTTTTCAAAACGGAGTTTTTCAGCTAAAAGCTACAGTTTGCTATATTATTACTGTCAACAATTATTCGGAAAAGCTCAATGCTTTAGATGGACAAAAAGCTTAATTTCGGAAATAGAAAGTCAAAGCAGATTTCTAATTTTCGACAATGCTCTGATTGTAATATTGATATATATTTTCGTAGAAAAATCGTGCTCTATCTTCTATTACTTTGTGGCTAATTTACAATCTCGTCATTTCTAAAACGAAAGAAACTTTTTCATACCTTCGCCAAAGTATCCAAGTATAATGATAAAAAATGGAATAAATGACACGATTGGTTTTGCA